GTAGAAACATAGCTTGCTTGCTACCATTGAAATTTAAGGTTCTAAATGAAGTCATTTGAAAATTGCTCTCAGAAAATCCACTTCTTTTCCATTCTGCTTCATTCAAAAACAGTGTCAGGTCTGCAACTAATGGCAAGTCACTCCTTTACATCTCCTACCCCCCAAGCATCTTTCTCCCTTATTTGCACTGTATTTTTTCATTTTCCTATTTTCTTTACTTTAACAGGGAGTAAATGTTCATGTGTGTGGCATCTGTGTATGTATGTGTGTTTGTGTCCACATGTGTGTGTGGGTGGGTGGGCATATGTGGAGAGCAGTGGTCAATGTTTGGTATCTTTTTCTATTGCTTTCATCATCATCATCATCATCATCATCATCAACCTGGAGTTGATCAATTTGGCTAGTCTGAGCGGCCAGCAAGCCTCCAAGATTATCCTGTTTCCACCTCTCCAGTGCTAAGATTATAGGCACAAGTCACCGCAACTGGCTTTGGTGATCTGAACTCAGGTCCTCATGCTTGGGTGGCAAACATTTTACCTACGGCAATATCTCTTCCACCATGAAAAAGAATTCTTACATTCAAATTCTCACTCCAACCAAATTTAGAAGGAACAGACTGATCAATGGTTATTCTGCTGACCTCTGCCTTACTATGGACTGGATTTGAAAGCATTTAAACATTAACATGTAACTTCAGTCCATGGATAGCTAACCCTTCAGTAGGTGTGACAGGATGCTTTATGGCATCTGCAATTACTGTTGAGCATGCATACACTTTCACAACAGGTTATGGAGACTTTGTTGTGAGGTTTGATGATGTTATCATTGCTACTCTTTATTACATTTTTATTTAGTTATTGTGTGAGAGAAAGACACATGGAAGAGAGAGAGAGAGAGAGAGAGAGAGAGAGAGAGAGAGATGTAATTGTATGTGGATAAAGATTAGAGGACACCTTGCAAGGGTAGATTCTCCCCTTCAACCATGTTGGTCCCTAGAGATCAAACTCAGGTAATCAGGTTTGGTGGCAAGTACTGTAACTAGTTGAACCTTCTGGCTGGTATTGCCATTGCTATTTTTTACATGAATGTTGAGAAAGGAAAAGAAAGTGAGAAGAA